AGCCCACAGTCATGTTGTACTGTTTTGTGTGTGAACAGATGCAGAGAGGGCTGGCAGGGACTCTTTTGTGATATGTGTAAACTCCATCCGTCCTGTAAACATGGTACCTGTAAAGAGCCGTGGCAGTGCACCTGCAAGGAAGGCTGGGGAGGCATCTTTTGTGACCAAGGTGTGTAACTGCCTCTTTCTCTAAACAGCGAGGGAGGGGGGTAAAAAGCAAAACAAACTGGATGAATTGTTAGTAGATAAAATAATGTTTCCACCCATTTGGTTACAGATCTGAACTACTGCACCCACCACAAACCCTGCGGCAACGGGGCCACGTGTATGAACACGGGCCAGGGCAGCTACACCTGCACCTGCCTGCCAGGCTTCACCGGGGTTAACTGTGACTTGGAGGTCAGGGAGTGTGACAGCCAGCCCTGTCGCAACGGAGGCCACTGCCTGGTGAGTCCGGAAGTCTCTCTCTCTCCTTTCCCACAACACAGGCTTTCCTGTTTTTGTTTTTGCCTCAGTCTATCTGCTAGTCCAGGAGGATGCTATCGATTGTCAAGTCAGTAGATGACCCAGTTCACAGAGCGTGGACTGTAAATAGAATTCAAACTAAGGATAATGGGGTTCGTTGGGGCAGTCGTGAACAGGATATGATAAAACAAAACATCTGACAGGGAGCTTTTTGATAAACTTTATATCTTTTCCTCTGCAGGATTCTGAGAATGGCTATAGGTGTGTGTGCCCACAGGGGTTTGAAGGGACACACTGTGAACACAGGATGCTGACCTGCGCAGATACACCCTGCTTTCATGGTGGCAAATGCAGAGAGAGGGACAATGGGCATACTTACACATGCGAGTGTCCAGCAGGCTACACTGGGCTGAACTGTGAGAAGAAAGTGGATAAATGTACCTCACTGCAATGCGCCAATGGTAATACATCATCCTCGCTACACCAAAAATAATTCTTAAAAAAAAAAAAAAAAATCTGAACCACGTGGAAGGCTTCTATAATTCTGTTTTGTTTTTCATAGGTGGACACTGTGTGATCCACGGTAACCTGCGGCTGTGCAGCTGTCGCTCAGGCTTCACGGGTCTGCGCTGTGAGATCAACATCAACGAGTGTGCCAGGAACCCCTGCGCAAACGGCTCCACCTGCATAGACCGCATCAATGACTACACCTGCACCTGCCCCCCAGGGTACACAGGGCGCCACTGTGACAAGCCAACAGACCGCTGTGCCTCGCGACCCTGCCTGAACGGCGGGACCTGCACCATCGGAGCGAAAGGCCAGCCTACCTGCATCTGCCCTGCCCATTACAGCGGCCCCCAGTGCCAGTCAGACGATGTGCCTTCACCCAACACCCCCAGCCCAGAAATAGGCTGGGAGCCCAATGACAAGTTGAGCTTGGCAGCCATTGGCTTGGGTATAGGCCTGGTGGCTGTTCTGGTGTTTTTTTGCATGGTAGTGGTGGTAAGACGTCACGTCAGGAAGCAGAGAAACGAGGAGCAGGACTCAGAGACCATGAACAACCTCTCCAAGGGAGACTTTCAGAAAGAGAACCTCAACTCTACTCTAGAGATAAAGAACAACAATAAAAAGGCCGATTTGGAGATGGACTGTCCCAGGGAAAAGTCTAATCACAAACACATCAGCCACTACCAACTGGACTATAAAACCTCCAAGGGGTACAAGGATGAACAGTCCCTTTTGTACAAAGACGAAAACTGTGAAAAGACGATAGAAGAAAAAAAGCCTTTGAGTAGAACGTTCAGGTAAGTGAACAAGATAAGGGTTGAATGAGCAGTTATGTTTTTGTCACTGTGTAGCGGCGCGGGTGCTGATGAGACATTCATTCTTAAGGTCATTTTGTTTTTGTGCTCAATAACTGACATGATGTATTTCCACTCCACAGTGAAAGGCCAGAGTGTAGAATATCAACAATAAGTCCTTCCAGAGATTCAGTGTACCAGTATGTCTTTGTAATAGCGGAAGAGAAAGATGAATGCATCATTGCAACTGAGGTAAGCCTTTATTTTCCATAATGAATCTATTTTCTTGTTTCTTTAGAGCGTAACCTTTATTATTAAGCAGAAATAGCTTTATCTTTTCTGTTATCTGGATGTTACATTTACTGCTGAAGTAGTCATTGAGCTTTTTTTCATCTTCTTCTTTTTCAGGTATAATAAATAGAAGATATTATTCACTGTCAACATTGGATTTCTTGCGGACTGTTTACAAGTGTGGAGAGACTAGGATTTATTTAAATGCAAGTTGCTGCTCTTGAAAACTTGATAACTGGATGGAGCCGGTGTGCTCTTTGAATTCAATAGAACTAAAGCTACTAATCTTTGTGAGAATGTAAAGACTGAAAAGACTGCTGTCAATAATGAGCAAATCTGACTTGTGGATGCGCCTTTGATATTTTTGACTCAGCCCCTTGTCTGCTCCCTCCAAGTTCACCCAAGGGCTTCAGGCCAAGATGTTTATGCCTGCGTGTTGATTAGAAGAAGAGGACTATCATGATGCACTCCTCTCCACCTTACTGCAGTAGACCGCAATCAACAAATCAACTTACTGCCAACTAGCCTGTGGAAGGAGCCAGCCTTTTCCATTTTTGTGGCCTGCAATGCGCTATGCAAACAGAAATCAGCATTGTGCTAAATCAAAAAGGGACAAAAACTACTGAAAACGGTTCATTTTTGAAGGATATTTAGGGTTATCATTTTTGTAAATCCTTTTTTATAAAGAATGTATGCAGCATAGATCACAAAGCCTTATATGTGTGTTTAAGAAAAACATTGTGCCCCGTCTTATCTTGATTCTTTGCACAGCAAAATGGAGGAAACATAAAAGATCAAAAGATGCAATACGCTGTAGCTCCATGCAGAGAAACTCATGATACGGCCTCGTTTTACCTTATGCAAGATCACCCTTAAATAAAGACAAAGAAATACATTAAGTGACTATCGTACCAAGGACGCCTTCAAAGGAAATTACTGAACCAATAATGTTATTTTGTAAGATTAGCATTTCATTAGTAATTTAAGAATATGAAGCACTGATCTGTCTCTTTCTATGTTTTATAAGATTATTTTGTATATACTGTATATTTATATGTTGAGATTAGAAGTATGAACATCTGTTTTTAAGTTGACGCCCAGAAAAGGTGAATTTATTTTTAAAGTGTCATTGGTGTTTTATTTTATTATTTTTTGTTATAAAAAAAGAAGCAATTAATACATATCTGGTACACTGTTTGTTTGTTGCTCTTCAATGGTTGAGTGTACATGTGGTCAAATAGAGATCCTAATTTAAATGTTGGAATCATCTAGAAACTTTATTTGTGTCAGCTGGTGTGGAAGTGGCTTCAGTGTTTATAGATACAGTCATATATATTCGGCCTCGTAGCATTTCTGATGATTCCATGTCTATGTCCATCTGTGTCAGTGTGAAATCAATGTGCTAGCAATCATTCAGTGGACAGTATTGTAATTGGCAGCAATGTAAGGAATTACTCAAACTAAAGATATATATTTAAAAAAAAAAAAAAACATCTGTATGTGCAAATAAAAAGTCCTTGTGGTCTTTCTACAGTACTTAACTGCTTCTGTGAACTGCTACTGTATCTTGATATATTGCATAGTAACTGAGGCTTTTAAGAACAAAGCACTAGAGCCTATATCTGATGATAAGTTATCTGTTATGGCCTCTGGCTGCAGAAGGTGTATGTGGAGTGACTGCTTGCATGTGAGTCAGTGAGAAAATCTGCATATGCCCTTTCACTGCTGGAGCGTATGTACAGCAAACAGGGGCCCACAGCCCATGAGGCAGAGGACCATGCAGACACCAACAAATTATACTGTCACTCAGGGAGGGAGGGATAACAGCAATTGCCTGGTGCACCTATGTTCAAAAACAGAACAACAACAAAAAAACACAAAAAAATCAGCTTGGATGCCTCTATGGTAGATAAAACACAATAAAGTGCCATTCTGATGGAGAAAACGTGATGCAGTGCCCTCTGGGATGCCCTTCATGCTAGAAAACTATTTGGTGCCTCCAGGTTCCTTTAAATGTTTAAATAGTTACTGTAAGTTGGAGTCACATAGCAAAACCATTTAAATCTTAACCAGGGTTTGGACCTGTCCCACCATAAAAAGATCACACCTATGCCCTATTCATTTCTTTTGCCCCTGTCCCCCACTGCTGTCACTTTGAACACCTTGCATTTGATTAAACTCCCGCAGCTAATAATAAAACATGACATTCTGCAATTTCCCAGCTTGGGATCAATAAAGTATATCTATGAGTTTCTTAAGAACTGAGTGATGTATTTTACTACCACTTGGGGGCAGTAAGCTTAGTGTGAAGTTGAAGGAAAAGAGTTTCTTCCACTTTCACGGGTTAGCTCATCATATATCGCGCATAAGTGACAGGCAGAGGGCAAATGATCTCAAGCAGTCATTCATGAGTGATTGGCCCATGTGGGCACAAACAGTGTGCTAGACAGACCACAGCAGAACACAGACAACTAATGAGCTTAGGAGAGCAGATATAACTGTCCCGGTTATTTATAGGTAATGTGATTACCTGCCGAACTATTACTGACTGTTTGACACTCAAGGGTGCAAGAGGTGCACCCACATTTTTAAAGAAAAATAACTACAGTGGTACAAAACTATAGGCCTATATGTCTTTGACCGTGATGCAATAATAATAATAAAATAGTTTTGTGACAGACAGAAAAAACAAAGAAATATAGTTCTTATCACTGTTTTTTGTTTGTTAGTAACGCTGCATTCAGTACAAGAACAACCCTCAGTGTATCGGTGCAAACTGGAACATACTGTTTTTCTGTGTGTTTCGCAAGTTCACGGGTGAGAAGTGTTACCACTTAAATGATCCTGATTGGTTTATCCCTTAGATAAGCCCGCCCTTTCTTTGATTTAATTGGCCGAGGCCGTCTCGCTCTGACCGACCCCGAACAACAAATACACGTGTTTGTGCATCAGAAACGGACAGTATGCACACACCCCGAACCGTTTCTCATTACCTTGGTCACAGTGATATACGCGACGCTTCTTTCTGCGAGACATTATTCATATTTGGAAGATCATTTCTGACTTCAGCACTTTATAATAGTGACAGTCGGATGTATTGGAATGTATAGGGCAATAGGAATAAGGGAAGAAATCAGATCAGATTGTTGACATAAACAACCTCGTTTTTAAAACACAGCCAAGGGTCTGCAATGAAACCTCAGGACATTATCAAAGAAAAGAGCACCCTGTGGATATTTGGATATGGCTCATTAGTGTGGAAGCCTGATTTTGATTACAAGAGGAGCACAATTGGCCACATTATGGGATACAAAAGGCGCTTCTGGCATGGAGACGATTTTTATCGAGGAGACAAGAAAAAGGTGAGATTTGACTCTAACACATTAATTTAGTCTTAAATTAAATTAACCTCCAATTGTTTCAAATATTTCCTGATGGCTTTATGAGTTTAGTAGTTTATTTATGAATCTTTCTGTGTATCATGAATTATTCTCAAGTATAAAACTGCTTGTTGTTGTTGTGGGATGTGCTGAGTAGTCATGTCTTTGCTGTGTGTGTCCTTGCTGTCCACAGCCAGGCAGAGTGGTCACACTAGTGGAAGATCAGGAGGTAAGTGTCCTTGTTTTGAAAGCTCCCAGTCTATTTTGATACTGTACAGCATGCAACTGGCTTTCTATATTCCCACCATCCTAAGAGGGGAAGCCAGTTTTTAAACGTGCCATTTTGCAACATCTTAACACCCACAAAAAAGTCCTACTTTATGGTTTTACACAATATTTGTCCAAATCAGTGATGCTGTAGGGGGAAAAAATGGGGAAATCAGTTTGATCATGCATATTACTACTACTGCAGTGATTTATTCTTTAAAATTGGGCCATGAAGCATTTATATCCATCTAAAAAGGTTCTATAACAAAAACTCAGTAGGGTCAAACAAAGTTTTGACTTTTGTCAACTGTAAATGTTGACTATATCAAGATCAAACATGCCTGGGGTGTTGGCAGAATACTCAAACCAGGTCTTTCATATGCTGTACTCGCCATGAGTAACCATTACATACTGTATTTGTTCCGCTGTTAGCATTCAGTCAAACTATGCTAACTTCTGTATCTCCCCTCCACTTGTTTTCCCTGCAGGCGTGCACATGGGGAGTGGCCTATGAGGTGACAGACTCCCAGATAGAAGAGTCCCTCCAGTATCTGAACATGAGAGAGGTCGTGCTTGGAGGTTACATAACGGAGATGGTGGAGTTCATCCCTAAGGAGAAGGGTCAGGCTCCTCTGTTGGCCCTCGTTTACATCGCTACTTCTGACAATCCCATTTACCTCGGCCCGGCCTCGGACAAGGAGATTGCTGCCCAGATCGCTGTTTGCAGGGGCAACACGGGCCACAATATTGAATACCTGGTCCGCCTGGCAGAGTTCATGAGGCTCTACTTTCCCGAGGTAGAGGATGAGCACCTCTTCTCTATTGAGGCGGCTGTTCTGAACATTTTCCATGACTGTGAAGAGATCAAACTCCCAGACCAAAAACCCCTACTGCTGGGAGCTACATAAAAGACTACATAAAGCACTCCACATCATGAAAATGTCACTGTCTTTATGCTGGGTGAAAGGGAAATCCTGCAACACATGTTTAAGGGTATTCGGTGCTTGTAAGAGGGATACCTGACTCGGTTAATTATTTTTAGGTCGTTACATAACCTCAAGGGATCTCATGTTCCTCAGCACTCTGTGTACTGTACTGTATACAAATTCCAGGAGCATGTGATGCTTTTAAAAATTCATACTAAGGGACTGCTTCTCTTTTTAAACACATAATGTCTTACACCTTTGTTGTAAAAGGGTCTCAGAAGGGATACTGTGTACATTTGTAAAATGTATTTTAATAAAAACACAAAAAATTCTTAAACAGTGTTCATAATTAGTTGTTTTCTGTGGTTCTCACGTGCTGTGAGTTTGAAAAAGTCTCCCGTATTTTTATGTTGAATGTTCAGCCCCCCTTACAATCTCCCCATCACATGGCCAAGGAATGTATAGCTGTAGCCTCTGGCTTACAGGAAATGCTGACTTTTCCTTAGAGAGCTGTTAACTACACAGGCCAAGCAGCTTTTAAAAGTCTTTTGTGCATTTACACTGTATTGTACACATGCACTTACTCTGAATAACTGTTTATTTTGGATGTTTTGTGGACCTCGGAGCTGTTGTGTGCAGTTCTTGAGACAAGATTTAATGGAAATAATAAATGTCACGACCAGCAGACTATAAAAACATTTTCTTTTGTGATGCTGGGATCGCCAGTATCTGCCAGGCATAGTGGTGGGTCTGTCTTTTAAAATTCCTGCTGTGCAGCCAAGCATTCCTTAAAAACATAACACTTCACTTAAAGTCTATTTTAGATCCCAACATTACCAAACAAAACAAATACATAAGAGTGAATTGCATGGACATACATGTAAAGTGCTGCACAAATATTTAATTCGATAATATGGTTAAGCCATACATTCACGTATTTATATGTTTCAATCAGTGTAAAGAAACCTTAGGGGACAAAATCAAGCATAAATCATGCACTGCTTGTCCAGTGTGATGTCCAGGAGTGCAGAAATCTGTGTATTAGAGTGCACACACTCAGCTGTAGAGGAAGCCACACACCATGGAGGAGTGCCTCCTCTTACAGTAGAGTTCAGAGCGTGTATGGGCTGGGAGGTGGGGGGTGCAGATAGGGTTTCTTTCCCTGTTCGAGCTTTGATCACGTTACCATAACATGTGCACATGCCACATGTCAGACTTTTTTTTTTAGAAGAAAGGCAGTTCTATCCATGGATAAACAAGCCCACATTTTAAGCTGCACATTTCTGTGTAACACTGCTCTACTTTCCAAGAAATCGACCCAAAACTAGGTCACAGGTTTGAGTTGTGAGATAAAGCACAAGAAGATACAGTTCACCAAGAGCTCACATGTACAGAACATGTTATGTATATACGATATGGGCAGATCATTTTTACCTGACATTACATAACTAAAGCAGTGTGTCCAGTGGTTGTCCTTTTGGTACATGGAGGAACTGTTTGTGGCTCTGCTGCTGCTAAATTCCCACTGAAAAACAACAACAAAGTACAACAAGTTCTCTGTGCTGTCTGAGACACAGTGTTTTGTTTTCAGTTATAATACTGAGATCATTCATTCAGACAGACAGACAGCAATGAGTCAGCAACACAACAACACAAATGTTCGTGGTTACTTGTGACACAGCATGGTAACATGTGGTAGATGTACAGCAAAGCAAAATTATCTGATGACTCAGTGAGTTTGGTATACTCCCTGCCTCCCAGTCTACACCCTGCATTTATGTTTATTCTTTCTAAGTAGAAACACGGGACAGCTAATCTCAAAGGATTTGCATGTTCATACCAATGATACCAAAGCTCATCCTCTTCACCCATGACAAGATCCTGGCTTCCTTCATGGTATGTGTGTGAATGTAGTTTTTGTATTCTTTTCTCCCCTTTGGTGTGCCTGCTGTGTGCTTGGTGTGTTTTGGTTTGGTGTCCGTTCGCGTCCGTGTCGTCTGTGTTTTGCTTTCCCCATGTTCTGAAAGCCGCCTGGTGGGCGGTTGGTCCTGGGAGCTCCTGCTGAGCACACCTGTGCGTTCATTAACACCAATCAGCACACCGGGTCCTCATCTTCAATCAACCCACCCTTTATAAACCAGGCCGACCTTCCATTCCCCTTAGTCCTGGTCACCATCCCTGACAACTACTTAGAAAACTGCTGCTGCAAAAATACATCTGCCGCTCTATAAAGGCTGTTATAATGTGTTTATGAAGGTGGACACAAGCATTTATTTATCTGTTTGCAACTGTGGTGCATTAGAGCATTATGATTTACAGCTCACTCTGGCACCTCTCATTAGAGATAGAACAATAAAAACTTAAATCAATAAATGCCCCTTCCTACACTGTTAGGGCTCCTTGGAGAGGTGCAGAGGGCATATGAAACCAAGTTAGAGCATACTTACGCACAAAGAAAGGTGCAAAACATGTCTACATGTCTGACTTTGACTATTCTATATGCATCTGCAGTAATTATACTATCAAACCACATACAATCAAACACAAAAGCTTGTTTTATCGACATTAAATTTAAATGTACCATACATATAAATGGATACACTGTCCTCCCTGTGCACTTAGGGCCCCTAATCAATATTATTACCCCTCGTGTGCTCTCCAGGAAAGATGTCAGTCATTATTTTCTGAACAGAGCGTACAATGACAAATACAAACAATACAAAACACACACAAAGTGTAGATTAAAGTCATGTCCTAAGGATGTGCATTTGGCCTATTGCTACCCAGAACAGTGGTCCCACATCCCCGAAAACATTACAACAATTGTTACTGATTGCATTTTGGAGCTTCCACCTGCATGCTAATGTGTACCTAGTCTGAACCCTGACCCTTGACCTTGGGTTGGGCAGTCCAGGTCTGGACACCCTGGAAGTGTGTTAAAGAGAAAATGATTGGGCCACTAATGGAGTCCATCCGCTTTAGAGCCCTAGCCCTCTCATACAGGGAGGTCAGGTCTAACCACTGAGGGTCACCTCACCCCTCGCTGCCAGTGGACATAAGTGCTATGTGGTCATGGGGGCCACTTCACCACAAGAGGAAGACCGTCCATTAAAAAGGCACAAACAATGGCTAATGATTTGGCAGTAAACCACATTCTTCTTTCAACTCTATCAGTCAACAAAATAAAAGCTGAAACTAATGTCCCATATGTTTATATATATATTTCACTAAAAGAGCAGCTTCCCGAATGCTTAGATCAAAAGACTGGATCTGGTTTGTGGTTTGTTTCATGATGCAGTACAGAAAGAACACAGCTTAGACTCATCCATCACTGTGCAATGATAAACACCATTCTTTAATCAATTCATCATCGCCAGCGGTTGCCGTAAAATTTGTTTCTTCTCATCCAAACAGAACATGACTCACACCCACTGGATCCTTAATTCAATCTGTTTGGAGCAGGGCTGGGGACTGAACCAGGCTTGACAAAATTAAAGCTCCAGCCAGAGAGCTGCCTCCTGCTTCATTAGTCCGCTCTATCCCTGAGGAATGGCACTTTTGCTGCTCTTAATTTCATTTCCCTAATCTCTTTTACACTGTGAAATTGTGCACGTTGTACTGCTGAATAAACATGAAGTGAGCCCTGTTTTCCCTGAGGAAATGATAAATGAATGGTTGCGTGTGATCTAGATGCTATTTTTTGTTGGACGTTAGCTAAAGGATCTGCATCATGGTCTCGGGGATCCTTAGAGATTTTAAAGTAATACTACGCTCTTCAAATAGAGGACATTTGTCTTTCCTGAATTTTGTTCCTACTGAATGTAACAAAACCACTGACAGTGTAAAGGACTAAACTCTACCAGGCCGTCTTTGACCTAAATGCTAATTCATGCTAACATGCTCACAGTGACAATGCTAACATGCTGATGTTCACCAGGTATGTTTACTGTGTTCGCCATCTTAGCTGTGATAGCATGCATTGGCTAATTAGAAATAAACAAGCCATGCCACAGTTGAATAGAGATTTTACTCTTCACCCAAACTTGCTAGTGACGCTAGAGAGAAAGACATCTAAAATATAATCTGCCAACCACTATTTGTCAATTTTAACACTTTGGTTTTTGTACTGATTAAACAAATAAGATATAATGTGTTGAGTAGTGAGTTTAAAAGTAGGATAGAAAGGGAAGTAAGTGGGTTTTGTTAGGTTACCTCTAGACAGAGGCAGGCTGTTTCCAGTCTTTGTGCTATTCTGTTCTAACTGGTTGCTGGATGTATATATTGTAGTGTAGCATTCATCAATGAAATGTATAACTGTTGTGACAGTTGCATCAAGGACCACAGAATTCGAAATGTTCCCAGGGGCTTATTACGTTTTTGTTTCAGTTTTACTGTATATGAGGCTTGTGCCCAGACTAAACTTTTTATTAAAAGCATATTTGAGCTGACAATGGTATTGAGGGGAGTAGAGGTAGAAGAGAGTGCATATGCTTCCTGGTCCGCTTTGCAGGAATGTCAGGAAACATCTGAGTCCAATTCAGTTGAGCAATGCGAACCTCTTTCACTTCTGCAGATGGCTCAGCACGAGCATCTGCAGGTGCAAAGGTCTGAGTGTGTCTTTCAGTGTAGTCCTGCTCCGCTTTGGCACCACGCATATTGGCGACCGCTGTAGTTATCACATGTTGGGAAGCCAAATAAACCTCTTGTGGTGTTAACCTTGTGAAGGCAGAACAATCGGGTGAAGCAAGTTTTGTTAGTGGCATCGAGTGCCAAGTGCAGAGCCACAGTGACATACTTGGCAAAACACCACTCGTATCTGACAGTGTGGCCTGTTTTTCCCTTCATTAACATTTGGATGCACTATTTGCTCATTCTTTATCTCCTTAATCAATCAGTTTATATTTTTTCTTTTACATATATAGCCTAAATCAGCCAATGCAGTAAACAGCCATGTTTGGAGGAGTGAATTATGGTAAGAGACACAGAGGGTGTCTGTGCAGTGTGTAGTAATCACACTCTGTGCAGAGAGGGACAGGTGTCTGTTTTGGTAAAAACAACACACAGTGTTTGCATGATAGCAGTCTGTGCCACTGAATGATTGGGCAACTCAACAACGTTGTCTCTAATACACACTCTGCTTTCATGAATGACACTGATACCTTTCTGTGTGGAGGCCAACACATGCCAAACATAAAACATTTCCCACTAAACAGCCACACCAGAACTGGTCTGAGTCGTAAGCAGCTGCTAAATGTGGACAGCAAGGGAACAAACAGGACGTCAAGAAAGTATGAGGGAATATTGAGAGATGCGGTCTAAATCTTTTTTTAGACTGCAGGTAA